ATATATGTAACTGTGTGGGCATACATGCACACAGAAACGCACATATATATATACATATATATCTGTGTGTGTTTTTGTATACACGCACACAAACACACATACACACATATATATATATGAAAAGTGTGTGTATATAAATATAAATATATACATATGTATATGTGTAATATATTATATATATTATTATTTACATATTATATGCGTGGTACTTATTAGAAAGCGCTCAATATATATATATATATATATATATATATATATATATATATATATATATATATATATATATATATATATATATATATATATAATTACACATAAAGTGCTGGTGTTATAGAAACAATGTTTGATATTATATAACGGAGCTATAAATTATATATATTAATGAATATACATATCCCCCACACCGTTTGCACTACTCTGAGTTTTATGCTCAGTACCTGATGATTGCATTTGGTATGAAACTCCATGTAGTGCTAATTGTGTGGGGTATTTATTATTACTTTCCGCTGAATGCGTCGCCAATTCTAGCCCAAACTGAGGGAAAATATTTATTTAATTTTCCCCCTCCCCCTTTTATACTATTAAATTTTTCTTTTCAACAATTTAGTTTTATACAGGCGATATATTTCTGAAGATGATTCGGTCGAAATGTACCTTAAGTTATAATTATGCTCGTTGTGATACTATTGTATTCTATTTTAATAATAAATTATGATCTCTCTTTTAAAATACATACATACCTATATATGACGTCACACATTATGAAATGAACAACAAATATTTTAAGACATATCTTATACGGAATCGTCATATAGCCTGACGTGCTTTTACCAATTGAGCCACAGAGGAGCGTTTCGGTTAGCATGGTCGATTTTACTGTTTTTAAACTACAATTCTCCGTGATTTTCTCTCGTACAGTCATATCTGCTTGATGCGTATCCAATTGTAAACAAATGACGTCCGACAATTATTTGAAGACATTTTTATGTTTATAAGTTTTTTTATAGATACAAATATTTAAGTAAATGCTCTGTTTATAATAAACAAGTTCGATTCCTGTCGGAGGGCACATATTCTCTATGAAAATTTCTCGGACATTCAGGCCGTTAAATGTTGTTAATACTGTTTCTTATAAACAGAGCATTTACTTAAATATTTGTATCTATAAAAAGAACGTATAAACGTATTAAAATACATACCTACATACATACATATATATATATATATATATATATATATATATATATATATATTATATATATATATATATTACTATTATCTACTTGTATGTATATTTCTCTATATATGGACAATTTATTTTCCCGGGGAAATCTAGCATTTCTAGCACTTTCCCCGATTTCAAAACTGATGAGACGTGTGTTGTTTTAATTTTCTTATATTTCAAATTATTGCTGTAACCTCTGAGATGAACCGTCTAGTCGTGTTTCTCGTATCATAATATCTACGAGTAGAATCCTTACTTTCATATTCTTATCTCATCTCTCAAGCAAGGTTTTGTTATTTCTCTTTTTGTTTTTCTTTTTGCTTCATCCTGTCTACATTTTTTTTTATTTGTATCACCCCACGCAAGACAGTACAGCTACTACTATGCAAGGGCTTACAGTGTGTGGAGGAATTAGGAACATAAACATTAGTAATGAAGAGAAAGAGAAAAGAGCAATCAAGAGGCCATGAATATAATTTTATCGTTTTTCATTATTTATTTTCGATGGATTTTCTTTTAGACTTGTTATCATTTCGTTCTTCGACCGTTGAAGTAATCAGTTAAAAGTCGAAGTATAAAACTTAAAGATGCGATTTCGAATCTTGCCGGAATCTTGAACTTTTCCACAATTTAATGCTGTTTCACCATCCAGTTACCGCATTTTGCGCCGCTGTAATCACCTCTCCTCTCCATCTCACAATTTTGGTTCATGGAGGCAAGGTGGAGTAATGAACAGCGGTTCGAATCGAGGAATCAGAGAGCCGAGTTCGAATTCCAGTTGAGTTTATCGCATTCACTTACGTGCTAATATCCCTAGGAAACGTATGAATCCATCTCTCCACCACCAGATATGGATGAATAGCAGAAGTGAGTCCTATAGCTTTGGATGGCAACACCAGTCTAGGAGAAAGAAACATCTGAATTCAATCCACCTTCTACCTTGTAGGTTTTGCCTATTTAACTTCTGATATGAGGAACGGGGGGTAACCTCAACATCCGCGATGCAAAAGAAACAGAAAAACAATTCCGCTATTTTGCTTTGAATGTCACCATGAACCACAATTGTCAGATGGAGGGAGGTGGTGACCACAGCGGCCGTTCAAAATGCGCTAATTAAATAAATGACATAGGTCTATATTTCTAAGATGAGATATTGTAATTATTTACATTATTTACATTGTTCTGGCCTTCTTTTATCCACTGGGCCATGTGTTCTCAAGGATTGGATCCAGTGACTTGACCGAAAGAGCTATGAGTTCAATAGCTGGCTATTGCAGTAGTGAACAAAAACGTGGAGAGTTGAGTTAAAGGGAGATAACTGACATCCGGAAGAGGCATGACACGTGAAACTAGAACACTCTACCTCGGTGGACGAAATAAAGGGTTCAGTTCGAAATTACAATCACCTGAAGAAGACCGGAGCGTACTACGGCCGAAACGTCGTGAATATAGCAATAAATATGAGGACAACAGTCCGAACAGTGTAAATGATATAAATGAATAAAAGATGATGATGATGATGATGATATTCCAGCAGTGTCAATAAACTAGTCTCTTTTGCACCGTTGATGCTGAGTTTACGTTGTCTCTCCTCTCATAAGTTCCTCCGCCCACTGGTAAAGCCGTTGGTCTCTCAGGCGTAGCTTCTGGCAGCTAGTGGGATCGGGATAGGCATTCCATTCACTGGTCGGGACGAGAAACCCTTTTAACTACCTTCACACAGTTTATCCGGATGGTCGATACCGTTGACCAGGGTTTGTCCGTCGCAGTCCCCATACGATTACTTGAAGCCATCTGTGAGAGTTTGATGTAGGCCGTGGACCAGTACAGTTCTTCATTCCTATTCACCTGAGTAACGCAGGGTCGACCGCTTCGATACTACCACTGACGATACACCCCGTACACCCTGAACTGCGATTCCGGAGAGTGATGACCATAGTGACGCAGATACGCGCTGAATAAATGATGACGGTGAATGCTATTTATTTTCTGATCGAAATAAAAAGCAACTTCTTTTATGTGCCAGGTCCTTTCAGAAAGTGAACGATTATGGATCGCGCCAACTTCCTATCTTTTGTTATTCTATCTCGGCCATGAGCAAACAGCGACACGTTTGGTTTTCTGAAAAACACGCCTAATTTCACAAAGAAAATAACATTTATTAAAATTGTATTCGTTTCGTTCTTAATTGTTCACTCACACTCTCTTGTAGAAACAATGATAAAGTGCAATATTTATTGAATTTTGTAACTTTTCGTTGAAGGAAACGTTTTCATCATTTTGAGCCATTGGCTACTAAGGAATACCATACGTATAAACATCTTTTGCTTTAGAACACATCCTTGTGTATAGTATCACTCTGTGTCTATGAAGCTAAAATTAGGGAATAAATTACTTCTGCCAGATTAACTCTTCCTAATTTTTGAAACCTCTTTCAGGACTATAAATACTCGGCGATTTTTTCTCGCTCTCTTCTCATCTTATTCGCTTATTTGTCAACATGTAACCTCTCGCGGAAAACGCGTTCCCTGTTGGGAAATGCATGAACAATATATACACACACACGTACGTATGCACGTTCACTCATTACACTTCATTTGAACCATTAGGTTTTCACATTCATTTGATACACACATCTTTGTCTTTGTCACTTGCAACCCTTTTGTTGTTAAATGTTACCATTTGTTTGTACATATATATTGGTTCTTATTGTTTCTTTACATTTCTTTACGTGGACTCATATCCCGAGTCTGCCATGTTTGTTGTGGGCATTTTAGAAGACATACACCGGACCGCAACACATCCTCGAGTATATTACCAACCCATGTTTCTGAAGCTAAAAACAGGGAATAAATAACATCCCTGAGTATAATACGACACCATGTTTCTGAAGGTAAAAGCAGGGAATAAACTATATCCTTGGGTATAATACTACGCCCGTATTACAGCCATCTCTATGTAATTTCTTCTGACAAGTTGTACAAACGTTATCTACTAAACACTCAATGCCAATCGCCAACTTCGGTCTTCCTGAATCCTAATCTTTTATTGTCCTTTTCCTCACTTCACTGACGTCTTCTCATTCTCTTTCGCTCCCTCTAACCCCATGCGTCTCAGTGGCATTATCGCCTGGCTTGGGATGAAAGTATTAAAAAAAAATGTATTTTCTACGCGTTACGAAAATTTTGTTCGACTTAATAAAAAAAATTAACAAATATTTTAAAATATTTTCAGGTTTCTTTCTCGAATGAGCCGATTCAGTTTGTTTGTCGGTGGCGATAGTCGTAATGACGTTTTGAGGAAATTTTTTCAATTGAGAAATACTTTAAAATAATAACATAATTAAAGACTTAGTCTGTTTTTAAGTGCCTTTATGTTGAATACCAAATACTCCGTAATAGTTGTTGACCTTTATGGCTTGAAGTTTTTTTTTCTATTATTTAAGTGTTGAAAATGCTTGGAAGTGTTTAATTCCTATCACAACTCGTCCAAGTGACCTAAATACGACCCTAAATTAATAGCCCCCTATTAATCTACGTACCTGACATTTTTGTAATACAAAAAATTTACTCAGACTTTCACAGCTATCCGAAAACTGGATGTTCCTAATTTTAATTTATATGTGAAAAAAATTTGGCCCTTGCCCCAGCAAGGTTGGTGCAAATGGTCTCCTGTCGCCAACCCCTGAATCTATGATATATAATTATTTATCTCTCAATCTAACATCTTGATCATTTCTTTCTCAATTATTCCGGTATATATTTGACTATTTTTTGCCGTCTGTTTGCACAGGGCCGGTGCTAGGATGTCGTACCACACCATCGAATCCACTGAATATTTTGTTAAAAGGGCCGAATCTATGATACACCACCTCGGAAACTATTTCCTTTCCTGTTCCAAGATTTGACTCTTGCTACAATACCCCAGCTGATGAAAAGCGTATTAATGCCATTCTTTAATTACCAGAAATATTAAGCAACCATAAAGTCAGTTTAGAGTATTTACAAAAATACAAAGGTAAAAATAAACAGAAACACTGTAAGCTTAACATTATATGGTTTCATTCAACTTTTAATCGTAATGTTCAAACTAATATCGGAAGATTTTTCCTAAATTTAATTCATAAGCACTTTAACTATTAATCAACGCTAAAGAAGATTTTTAGCAAAAATAATGTTGCGTTAATAACATCGATAAATCCCAATATAACAGCATTATATTGAATAAATATATTTCCACCAAAGAGGACGTTATTTTTGTTTAAAATAAATGCAACTGCCGAAACATATGATGTGTCCCTTAAATGGTCAATGCTTGACTGATAATATTGTATACCAAAGCTAGCATACATTCCGATAGCGATGTAAAATTTTATTTTGGTTCCACTGAAAATCTTTCATTTCTACCATCATCGAACGACTTTAGGCAATATAAAATGCAAAACAGCACTGCCCTCTCTAAATATTTATGTCAATTAAAAAATGCTAACACACCTTTTATAAACTAGGATATTGTAGTAAGAGACAAATCTTACAACGGGAAAGGAAATATGTGTAATTTATATCCTGTAAAAAAATTAGTTATCTTAAAACACTTAAATAACATATTAAAAAAGAGAAATGAATTGATTGCAACATGTAGGCCTAAAAATAAATATCTGCTTAAATACGTTGATCCAGATTAATTGTTGGATGTAAATTATGTTTTTTTTTTAAAAAAAGAACAAATGTATGCTTAATATAAAAACAAAAATTAAACATTAATATTCACAAATATAAAGTTATATATATATATATATATATATATATATATATATATATATATATATATATATGCATGTTTCATTAAATAATACATGTATCATCAATATGGTGATTTCCTTTCGTCTTTCAATGATAATGTGATTAAGCTTATCAGACAATATGAAAGGAACTTAAAATAAATAGACAAAACTTGTCTATATTATTCAATGAAACATGCATTAATGAAAAATTGCTGCCTAAATACACACACACACACACACACACATATATATATATATATATATATATATATATATAAGTCCGTTTATTTTAAATGACAAGTATTTCTTAAATTAAAAATCTGTAATCCCAGTATAATATATAACTGCGCCAACATTGCGATAACCAGATATTGTTATTAAAATTTAAATTACGTAATAGTCAGTCTATACTCAGCAACTGCATATTGTTTTGTGCATTATACTCAGGGTCATGCTATCGGTGAGGAATAATATATATATTTATTAATATATGCTTAATAGCTCTGTTGGATTACATCGAGCACTGTTTTATTAACACTAGCATACAATGTGCGAAATATTATATATATATATATATATATATATATATATATATTGATAATGGAGGCCATCTACATTATAACAAAGCAACCCACACTCAACAAAATTACATTTCAAACCAGTCACATAATAGTACAATACATTTAAACACATGATTCTGTTGATAACATTTCTTTCATTCACGTGATCATGTACGACGTCATAGAACCTCATTACGAATTTACGATCTGCGTCTGATATTCCGCGACCGTGATCGTCGCATATCAAACATCTATGTAAACTTAACTGGATTTCTTTTTTGATTGGTGAACATCTCTGTTGTAATGTCCATACAAACACAGTGATGATACCTCAGGTGAGCCGAAAGCTTAGATCGAGGAACAGTATAATAAAAAAATATCCAAATATTGGACAGTTTTTGTCTTTATTTTCTCCAGAAACTAAAGCCGCTATACAAAGCTTAGAAGGGCTCATGATAAAACATAACATACGTTCGTTGTCTGTTATATTTAACAATATGTTTGAATATATATATATATATATGTACATCCCTTACTATCAACAGTCTGAATAATGTAAAAATATTAGTGAAACTAAATGAAAAATTCATAAAATTTTCATTGTCTGTTATATTTCACGAAACATGCTTGAAAGGAATATTTCTGTTCATATATATATATATATATATATATATATATATATATATATATATATATATATATATATGAAAATATATAGGAAATAGGAAGGAACTGGTTAGGTATACGTTATTCCAACAAAATTTCGCTTGAGGATGGAACGGAGCCCATTTTACTTTCAACTCAATTTAATTTAAAGGATTATATTGAAGTTTTCGGCTCTAGTTTTGAAACATGATACCTCTTATGTAGCGATTTGGAATCATATTTTTAAATAAATAATTATATATATATATATATATATATATATATATATATATATAGAGAGAGAGAGAGAGAGAGAGAGAGAGGGAGAGAGAGAGAGGAGGAGGGAAGATGAGATAGATAGATAGATAGATAGATAGATAGATAGATAGATAGATAGGAAGGGTTTAGGTTTTCTGACTTCTGCGTAACAAAGAATAAAGTAATAAAAGAATTCCATTTGGCCACTTTATTTATTTATTTATTTATTTTTATTTTATTTTATTTTATTTTTTCTTATATTTTTAACTTTCTTTTTCCGCGGGAATTTGGGTAAATAAATGGACATCAATTTGCACGATAATAATAAACAGGTGCACTTTACAAAGGCTTATTTCTTCTTAACGATTTTTTCCCCGTCCTTGACATGCAATGACTTTCTTCCAATTTAGATGTTAGACATTTCTATAACAGTAGGTAGCGAAAGTTTCTCATTATCAGAAAGGCGGGCGTGAAGTCAATTGTTAATCCTCTGTAAAACTATTTAATTTAACTAACCTGGGGCAGAATTTGCTTGTTCTTTTTTTTTTTTTTTGTTTTGTTTTGTTTTTAAGGCTATTTTATTTTAAAAAATCACAGACAAAAATTTAGATGCAAATATTATACAATTAATTACGCAATTCTGATAGTTTCTAACGCCTGACGTTCTATTTTGTCTTAATGTAAACTTGAGATATTTGGTCCCAGGTGAGGAATTTCAAATTTTTTCGGGTTCCTGCAACAGATATGGCAACCCTTATTCGCGAGGCCAAACTATCTTGTGATATTTATATTATGACGAATGATGTTATATTTTTACCATCGTAAGTCACAAGAGTTTATGTTGGACATAAGGCTGGTTTTTATCTTAAACTTCACTACCCACAATTACTGACCCAAACATACCACAGTATTCCTTACAACAAAACAGCACATTCCTACTTACCATTCTTATTACAATCACGATAAAACCTCGAAGTCTCTATAAAATCCTAACTAGTTCTCATATGTACAATGTTTCTGTGGTGTGTGAGGAATAACAATAACATTTTTTTTTTAAATGAAATCTCAATGAATATTTACAATGATTACAATTGAGGAAGCTCATCCGAACAATTATCGCGAAAGTATTTATAGAAAATAAAAATTACGAAAATAAAGCAGCATAGAGATAATGTTCGAACAAGAGACGTGCATTTATTAAATAAGGTAAGTGGGCCTTGTTGTGCTGAAGAGTTTTCCGTAGTTTAATGGTAAAGCACGTCTGGCTTGAAGGCGTTTTTTCAGATTAAAAAGAGAATCCAACTTCGATCCCTGTATAAATGCGAATTTTCTATAATAACAATTTCTGTCGGTAGGTCTTATGTCCCTGATTTTTAAACTGGAATGTCTCCTTAAAAATGTGCATATTCTAAATTTAAACTCTACAGTAATACGAAACAATGTCGAATTAAAAAAATCCATTAATTACTTTATATATCAAGTAATTCACAGATTAAATTATAGAATTTCTTAGCGTCAAAATGAGGGTGTGTTAACTCTTGAAAAAAAGAAGGATTATTTTTAATGCTGCTCTGAAGCATATATGGAATCCCGACCTTAAAAAAGCCTTATGTTATAATCTGAACGTGTGGACGTGCTATTATATATATATATATATATATATATATATACAACATAAACATATATAAAATCATTACAAAAGTAGCCATTTTGTTTCAACACTTCTGGTGTCTTCTCAAGTGAAGTCGTTGAATTTAGAATAATGCCATCATGTTATTGAATTCTACATTCAACACCATCACTTGAGAACACACTAGAAGTGTTAAAACAAAATGGCTATTTTTGTAGTAATTTTACGCGGGATGCTTGGTATCTTAATTTTTATTGAGATTTTTTTTTTAAATGTAACGGATTTCATTTTTAGATTCTTTTTCTTTTCTTTATTTTTTTCATCCATTTTTAAAAATTAGATATCCCACACTGTGATAATAGAAGTCCTGCCAGGAATTGTGAAATGTTGTAAAAGCCCGGGCGCAAATTTGCTGCAAATGACCTCAAGGTACTCTCAAGACATTTTCGTCGTCCTGAACTGTTTTTTCCTTTGATCAGAGTAGCATTTTTTTATATCAATATTATGCTCAGTCTCGTTACGGTTGGCCACCAGCTCATTTGGTATATTGATTTGGAAAATGTCTCTTTTGTGTTCATGTAGTATTTTACTTAGATTCCTTAAGGTTCCCCCTATGTATTTTTTGGGACAATTATTAGAGGCGATTTAGTCCGATGGAGTCCTAAAGGACATAACGAGTCACAAAAAACGTTTTCCATATAGTCATATATATATATATATATATATATATATATATATATATATATATATATATATAAAAACCTAGAGACCAGACAAACCTCGTTTCACCAAAGCGGATCGTCAGGGAAGCCAGCTTTCCCTGACGATCCGCTTAGGTGAAACCTTGTAGGTTTGTTGGCTCTCTAGGTTTAACTAGGTCTGCTCTACTCATTGTATTGAGCAATTTATTTAGTTGTTTTGGGTACTCGCATCGGGGTTTTTTTTTCTTTGGCCCTTGAACTCGTATGCTGGACGATTTTTTTTCGGTTAACGTACATGTTCTTGGTTCTTTCTTTTTATATACCTTTTTTTCCCCTTTGGTGTTGGCTTGTTTATTTGCAAATCAATATACCGAAGGTTTTCCGAGCGAGTATAGTTTCTTATACTTTTTATACTTGTAAGATTTCTATTAAGAATATATATATATATATATATATATATATATATAGAGAGAGAGAGAGAGAGATAGATAGATAGATAGATAGATAGATACGCACGAAAACTTTTGAAAATGTATTTTTGGTGTATCGTCGAAGAAAAAGAATTTCATTCTAACAAAATCTCCATTACCGAAAAAGAATGTAATGCATTCACATTCAGAGGCAGAATGCTTGATTTTTTCATTTCACTGTCAGAGTTTTTATTTTAGTTATTTTTCATGGTTTGCGTATACAACATTGTTTCAGTAGTAATTATATATATATATATATATATATATATATATATATATATATATATATATATAGTATATGAATATCATTTTAGAAAATTTGGGAACGGGTTCCTCACACCAATACAAAGACAAAAAGTCCATATAAACATATGTCCGGAAATGCTTTGTTTTTGAGTTATTAAGTTTAAAGAAAGTTTACGATAAATGGCGCTGTGTTGCCGTGTAGATTAGGTTACATTTGTTATTCGTGTACATCTGTGGCTAGTCTGTCTTCAACGTTTAACGCGTGCAGTAGTGAAATAACAGAGAAGTGTTCCGTTTAACAATGGCAGGATATTCATATCGCCAGCAAGCAAATATGATTTTTACATGCTGCCGCGCGAATGGTAATGGACGCGTGGCTGCACGGCTGTATCAGATTGCATTTTCAGACCGAAGGCAGCCGAGTCATACAACGTTTGATGCCGTTTTCGTCGCGTTGCTGAGACAGGTTCCGTGGCACCACAAACTACAGATCGAGGAAGGCCGAGATCCGCACGTACGCCTGACCACGAAGAACAGATTCTGCAGGCTGTCAGAAAAGATCCACGTATCAGCACGGCGTTCTTGTCCTTGTTTTGGTATGAGGGACCCGGCCCCAAAGTTTGTAAAATTATTTCTGATACGCCCTGTATATATATATATATATATATATATATATATATATATCAAGGAATGCTTTTTGCCACCTACAAACGAAATAATTCCTGGCTTGTCTAGATGCAATCTTAGAGACTATTTATACACTAATAAAAACCATCTGTAATCCCAAGCGTCCACCTCTTTCCCTTCTATTCGTCTGTACTTTTCATTTCTCTTTCTTTGCTTTCTCCTTTACACGTTCTCTTTTTAATCTTTTTACCTGCGCTCATTTTTACAGCTCAGCTACCCACCGATTCCGTTTCAATTATTTACGTTCTTTCATCATAATGCATCTTCTTTAACTGCTTCGTATCCAATGTTTTTTTTAATCCTCAAATTTTTGATCAAAGGCGTTCCAGCTTTAAGTTTCTGATCCCTTGTTTATTCCTTTAATTATCTGTTTTCTTTCAGAGCAAGATCTGCTTTCCATGAGCCCAGTTTTGTATTTTTTTACAATCCCTGAAAAATATCTTCAGCAATATGAAACAAAAGAAATATTCATTAACCGAAAGAAATAGAGGATTTTGAATGCATTTTTTTTAAAGCCTTTCTATTAATAAAACTGTCGCATTTTCTGAGCGTTCCCTTTCAAACTTTCACCATGCTTAAAATTAATGGAAGCCATACAAACCTTCCAGCTGACCGCTTCTCTGGCATAGCTTTAACACAGTGATTCTCACCCACTCTACCGCGTCACACTCCTAGGTGTGTCACGAAATATTGAAGAAATCGCGAACAAATACTAGGTTTTACGTTAAATAAGCTGCATAAATAGTTGAATAGAAACAATGAAATAAATTAAGTTCATATTTCTGTAGGTCTTTTTTTTTGCGTGTGTGTGTTGTGTGTCATGTGAGAATGTTGTACAATCTCCTCAAAGATGAAGGGACTTGAAACAACAGAAACAAAGAAAAGAATACTGAACTGTTACGTAATATCAGTCCGCCTATATGGCAGCGAATGCTGGACAATCTCCTCAATGATGAAGAAGAGGCTTGAAGCAGCAGAAATGGATTCTAAAAACAAAAAACCTTTCTTTCAAACATCTTTCATTGAACACAGACGACAAGGAAGATTTAATTAGCTTTTTTTTTATTAAGTTTTCCCAGCATCTTGACATTTTTCCGTTTTGTAAGATTTAAGGAATATAAAAATTGTCCATAATTTTTTATTGTTCCAAGCGCTTTTGACATGTCTATAACCATTTTCAAGGGTGTTTTGCCGCTGGTGTTTTTTTTTCTTATGTTTTGGCAGTTACATTGTAAATTATGTTTGTGTTGTTGTTTTGGAAAAGGGTCGTACATATCAAGACCTCACTTTCCGCGCGCGACTGGAATATTGCGCTAAAATCTTTTTATCTTATATTTTAAAAAAACTTTCAACACTCTATTTAATTATTTATTTGGGCAGCAAGCATTCTTTTATGCAAGTTTCATTAAAAACGACTGACAATGTGCTGGGTTAAGCTTTTTATATAATTTATTTTTCATGTGTTCGTATAATTCTTTTTCAGGACATAAATTATATAAAATTGATAGAATAGTTTATATATCCAAATGTTTTCGGCTATAAGTTTAGCTATTTTCAAGGGTGAATTTTATTTTACATTTTAACTGAATATATGGATTGCTTTATATATGTATCTAGAGTTGGAGTAATGTTTTATTACTAAACACGGTCAGTACATTGTGACCATGTTCATAGTTGATGTGTTTATATAAGTTATGCCCTGAAAAGAAAAATAAATAAATGAACACATGAAAGATTTTATAAGAAACTTAACCACAAGTACCCTTAAAATGCCATTGTGATATTTATTTCGTTAAGATCGAAAAAATCCGATCTCAACTCTTCAGAACTCAGTACACGAATATAAATGGATAAATTTAACAAGTTTTAAAAACCAAACATATATGTTAAATATGCAGATTTTAATAAATCTGCATATTTAACATAAATTATGGTATTTTAAGAGTTCGTTTCTTTATTATTATTATTGCTCTGTTTTTACATAGATCTCGTTTGTATCCCTTTGAAATATCCATACGGATTAATAAATACTAATACATGTATATATATATATATATATATATATATATATATATATATATATATATATATATTTATATATATATATAAATATATTAAACATAAATAAAAATGTTTTTATCTAAAAATGTCGGACCTCGTCCATAAATAATATATATATATATATATGTATATATATATATATATATACGTAATATATATATATATATATATATATATATATATATATATATATATATATATATATATATATATATATATAAATATATATATATAATATATATTATATAATATAATATATAATATATATATATATATATATATATATATATATATATATATATATATATATATATATATATATATATATATATATATATATATATATATATATATATATATATATATATATATATATATATATATATAATATATATATATATATATATATATACATAATATATATATATATATATATATATATACATAATATATATATATATATATATATATATATATATATATATATATATATATATATATATATATATATATATATATATATATATATATATATATATATATATATATATATATATATATATATATATATATATATATATATATATATATATATATATATATATATATATATATATATATATATATATATATATATATATATATATATACGTACATATATATATATATATATATATATATATATATATATAAGCCGCTATCCATTACTCCACCGTGTCTCCTCTAGAGGAATCGCAGAGCCGAGTTCGAATTCCAGTCGAATCCATTACATTCACTTACGTGCTAATACCCTTGGAAAAAGAATGATTCCTCTTCCTCTCCCTCCAGCTATGGGTAAAATAGCAGGACAGACTGGGTTCTATAGCCTTGGATGGCAACTGGTCTAGGAGAAGGACAACTCTGAATTCAAAACCTGAGGAGGGTCGTTTGGGAACCTCGTGGCATTCGGTGCACCAGGTCTCTGTATTTGTCCCTTCAAAAAGTGTGGAAGGTCCTGCACGAAGCCTTCACTACTATAATCAAATCTCATGTGCCGTTGTCGGGCTGTCGGTTTCCTGGAAACTGATCTGTTTGATCCTCATACGTCGAATTTCGACGGGAGAGTCGACTATATATATATATATATATATATATATATATATATATATATATATATATATATATATGAAAGGCTTAAATATTCGATGGTTATAATTTATTACCTTGGAATCGTAATCACGATCCAAATTTTCAGACATACAAATTAAGGTCTGATGATTAGGATCGTGATTACGATTCAAAGGTAATAAATTATATCTGTCGTATTTAATGAAACATGCATAAACGAAGGATTGCTGCCTAAATATACAACTAATATATATATATATATATATATATATATATATATATATATATATATATATTTCGAAATATATGATTCCTTCGCTACATAAGAGTTCTCATGTTACAAAAACAAGAGCCAAAAACTTCAATATAATTATCAAAATTAAAATGAATTAAAGTATCAAGCCCTGTTTCATCCTCAAGAGAAAATTTAGGAACCTATATATATATATATAATATATATATATATATATATATATATATATATATATATATATATATATATATATAAAGAACCTTCAGATATTGGACGTCATGTACATTAAAACAAAGCAACCCACACTCAACAAAATTACGTTTCAAACTAGTCCCAACATATTACAGTGCCTTTGGACATATGGTTCTGTTGTT